AGACAAAATATCTCTTATTTTATATAGATTTTTGACTAAACAAAACTTGCAACAAAAACTTACGTAAGAATTTACACATACAGAAACCATTAACTAATGGAAGTTAAAAAAATAACATCAAAATTACTACATAAAAATAAAATATTAACAGAATTAAAACACCATAAAAAAGCTCTTATGTACGTCAACTTCTCTCAAGATTTCACATAATCAGATAATACGTAATTAATCTCAAAAAATTCTCACACCTAGTGTTATCCAAATAATATCTCCAAATAATTCTAAATAAGATTGTATAAAATGAAAACATATCATCTGACACGTAAACTAAGGTACTTTATCCCTTGACATACATATTACGAAATTAAATAATAATTCATAGCTATAACACACTAACATAATATAAAAAAAATCTTCGATTTTGCACAATCAATTTTATAGCTATCGAACTTAGTAACAAAACGCAAAACATAAGTCAATCACGCATACAGACAGCATATAACAAAAAATAAAAATAATTACGATAAGTTGTCTAACAAACTGTAATTATTAATCTAAAACAATAATTAGATTACATAATTGCTATTAAATATTAAATTTTACACAGTTTTATTTTAACTTCGATAATAAAATAACTTTAAAATCATATTAAGAATAATACCAGATTATTATTCATTTTTTTAATTCATCGAAACAATAATTTTACAGCAACCGCACTAAACTATAAAGAAGAATATTAAGTAGATAGGTGGCGCTTCGCGCCACCTATCGAACTAGTAGTCCCTAACAAACGAAGTCAAGTATTAGTAAAACAGTAGAGAGCAACCGAAATACTAAAACGGAACCTAAAAGAGTACTTATCTGAAGCTACCACCAACACAATATACCCCATTAACCCTAGTTACTCGGACCATATCGTTCCACACCTCAATCGAAGTCTTACCACTATTAAGATTGGGTTGTACTTAGTGATGTGCCATTTATATGATACTCGGATTTTTTTAGCGTACAGTACGTACAGTACGTAGTAGGATTTTTTTTTTATACCATTGATTCGGAATAGTCCGTAATGGTTTCGGAATATTTAGGAACTTATGAATGTTATGGCCTAAACTTCAGAACTTATAAAATGACTGTCAAAATTTTAGCGTACAGTACGTACAGTACGTACAGTGCGTACAGTACAGTACTTATAGTACAGTACGTGGCACATCTCTAGTTGTACTAATTATAAGTGTTCTATATAGTATAGTTTAGTTAGTATTGGTGCGGTAGTAAGTTATTTTATATCGGCACTACAACTTTTCCGACGTATTTAACACTTTTCAACGTGCGTAGTTGCTGAGACAGCATGCCTATTACCATATTCAAATTAATGAATTTGGTTTCAAATGATTTCAAGCAAATATAATTTCAACTTCATCATGATGGATCCCTATGGATATTTTTAAAACTCCGATTTTTCCGAATTGTTGTTCCATTATAATTCCGGAAAATGCTCATGTTTCGGAGCAAAACATATTGGAGGTATCAATAGAAATAGGGATATTAAGTAGTCTGACTACTTTAGTTTTTGCAGTACAATTTATATGTAAGCAACTAGTTTGACTAGGTTAGTTACATAAAATTGTACTGTAAAAACTATAGTAGTCAGACTACTTAACATCCCTAAATAGAAACCAACCAAATCGTTTCTAAGTAAAATTTTTTAAACTTTAAAGTAAAATATCTTAACAATTGTTAAACTAAACTTGTTAAAAATTTTTTATTTTAATTATCATAGTTATAGAATTAAAATAAAAAAAATTTACCAAGTTTGGTTTAATAGTTGTTGAGATATTTTAGTTTAAAATTTTAAAAAAACTCACTAAAAACCATTTGCATAGTTTCTATTGACACCCCCATATACAAATTCCTGGACATTTTCATAGAATTCTAATAATTTTCGGTAAAAATCAAATTCGGTTAAGATTCGGCTTCTAATCTTTTGTACTTTATTATAATCAAAAGCCGAATCTTATCCGGATTTAATTTTTACCAGTTTCTATGGAAATTACCAGGAATTTATGTTTTGTTCTAAAAACGAGAATTTTCTGGAATGATAATGGAACGATAATCTGGAAAAAAAATTGGAGTACGTTTTTCGAGAATTTTTGGGGGATCAGTAGCCCTTTGATTTGACCAATCTGCTCACAGGATCAGGAATAGAAGTGAGCAATGACTAAGAACTAAATGATTTTCTGGACCGGGCGCAGCATTTACGAACCAAAACTCTAAACTAACTGACTATTAATTCTATTTAATTACAAATATGTAAAATTAATTATAATCTGACCAAAAGGTAAGAATCTTCTATGTACTATCCTGTTCATGATCTGTGCTATAATCTATGAAACATATTTATTTTAAATATAAAATAAGGGATAAAGACGCATCAGGAAATTATATTCTAACTATATTTTAATTCTTTTATTACCTACGATCGGCATTGAACCATTTATAAATTGTGTACAAGAGTTCACGTATTCTTTTATTTATTATTATAAAATGAATTCAAAGTATTTCGTATTTTTGCAGTTCTTTGTTTTTGTATTCTTTATCGATATCGTTTCTTCTGATTGCAGCTATAATACGTCGTGTGTATGCCCTGTTGGTATTGAAGGAACACTATGTGGCGGTCAAATAGGTACGTAACTAAAATCAGATGTTCTGCTGCATTGCTGCAATAATATTTTTTAACATTTTTTTCTTTAAAATAACAGGATGTAATCCAAATAATATTTATGAATGTGTTTCTACTGGTCTGACCTGTGAATATGGTCTTAGAACTTCATGTATGCGGTGTGGGGCACTATCGTGTCCCTCTGTAACAAACATAAATTCGACGCCAAGCATAAATTCAACCCCAAGCATAAATTCAACCCCAAGTATAAAGTCAACCGATCCAAAACAACAAATTATTGCCACTATAATGCTTTGTATAATAGTCCTTACACTGACTTAGGGTATCCTACTTAAGTGGTTGGTTTGTGTTTAGAGACCTGCCCAAGCACTATTCCAAAAACACAGATAAGCTATATTTCAAATACTGCTTTAAAAGTGGTCATACATATGACTATTAATTATGTTTTTCTGAATATATTAGAATATATGCATACCTAAATATTTATTTAAAAATTTTTATTATTAAGGGTTTCAGAATTAAAGTGTGGGAATCTAATTTTGGCAAAAATAGATGTCGTATTTTTATTTTCAAATAGATTGACGTATCAACTTTATTTCATTTTCCAATAAAATTGAAATAATGATTTTTATCATTGAGATGCTTATTTATTTCGTTAAACGGCTAAACACTCCCATTTCGATTTCAAAATTTTTGATATACAAATAAGAATTTTTAAAATCACTTATTTCTGAAATACGTTAGTTTTTTGATTCTGAAACCCTTATTATATATTTTACTTTAATTATACTTATTTCTAAAATCATATTAAGTTTAACGTAATTTTATTTATTTAAAAATTATTGATCACAAGGCTTTTTGATTGTAAGATCATTTTTGAACTCGATCCGAGCACTCATTTTAAACAATTAAATTCATGAGATTATTTAACTGGTTCGGATTTCGAATAGAGACGAATAGGGTCTGATAAGTAGCATAACATTCCTAGTAAAATTGTATTCTCCACATTTTTGTTTGTGCGTAATATACAAAGTTGTACGAAATGAGTTTCACAATCTGCATATTGCCGGTCATTTCCGGAAATTTTGGACTACACATAATATTGTTATACCGAAACAAAGTCTTTTGGTAATTACGCCGATATCAGAATTTATGGTTATGAATGAATGGATGTAGTTTTTTCTTTTTAACTTTGTTTGCTGTTCCTAACTTTGGATCTAAATAAAATCTTTTACACTGCTACGTTTGAGCATCATTTATTGGAGATTTTTTTATTCAACCACATATAGTTAACATACTAGTAAATCAAATTAGAATATGGAATGGCTCATATCATAGTGAAAGAAACTATAGTAAACATCTAAGCATTATTATATTTATTTAAGTCCTTACGAAAAATACAATTTATAACATCAAACTTCATTGAATTTTATGGTGTCAGAGTCACACAAGGCTAGTATTAATGATTAATAATTCAATATGTGTTTACAGATCGATCTATATAAGATTAACAAAATACAGCGAAGCCTCCATAAGTTCACAATCTATAAGTGCACACCATCTCTAAATTTTATTGTACACGTTGTCAAAGTTGTGTCCCTAGAGCGTGACAAAACCAAACCTACCAGAATTACCGTATATATGCTTAATAATAAATGTTTCAAGTAACTTGTATATAATTTTGCCTAAGGGAATGTTTAAAATAAATTTCGTAAGGATTAATGGGCTGCCAATATTCGAATAACTCGTGAAATTCTAGAAGGCCTTGTATTACATGAAAATGATATAGTTCATAGAGACCTTGCAGGTATTTTCTATTTGATTGTATTAACGAAAAATTTACAGAACAATAAAAAAGGTGATTTTTTTTAATTATCATGATTATTTTTAAAGACTTTCGTTTTAGCATTAAAAGACATTCTAGTTCACCCTAAATGCACTGAATGTTTCCTGATATAAATGTAGAAAGAAATCCGATATCTATAGTTTTAGCGTGCTTCTTTGGGAAATTTCAAGTGGCCGACTGTTGTTCCAATCATCTGAAAACCACATTATAATTGCTTTTGTATATCCCAAGGAGCGAGGGATGAACCTATTAAAGACATGTCAGACAACATTATCAAAGCTGCTGAGATTATAATCCGGATAAATGTCCAGAGCTCCAGAAATTTTAGGATCTAAAATCATTTGTTAAATAATGTTATTATGAATTGCCAACAAATCATATCTCCAAATTCATATTGTTCAGAATCGTCAAATTTCTCTATTTTCGATAGCATTTCATCGCACAAATTCACAAAATTTACTATATATATTTTCATTTTGTTGAGTTTTTAATCGCTATTCTAAAATGGAAAGCCAAATTTGGAAAAAGTAATAAAATGAATCCACCTTTCGCTGTTGCCCCACTAAAATTAGCTTCTAGTTTAGCACTTGTATTACAAATGGCGTTGTCACCTATCTTGAATATTTTCCGGCAAGCACATAGGATAGAATACATATTTCGTTACACAAAATATTTTATTATGCACGTACGCATCGTTGCTTTTTATAGTGCCGTAAACGAAGTGACGTTTCATGTGACTTCCGAAGCATCCTATCTGACATCTAAAAAAAAATTTACTGCGAAGTGATAGCATATCACGTGATCGAAAAGAGAGGGGCGACATAGCGCCTCACCTCCGACCTCATGATGCATGCGCATGTGAATGAGATAACAGCGTGGGAAGCTTTGATG